TCATATCACTCTTAAATGCTTTCTTATATCAAATAGAAGGCAAAAGTACTTCACTGGAGTGTTGGTTATGGTAATTTAAATATTTTTAATTTTTTGCAGGTAATGCACTAAATAACATGTGTGCTGTTTGTTTCAGCATTGTCTTCCATGAACTGTTCTTTACAAACATAAAGCTATACATAAAACTTAGTATTAGGCTCTTGAAGGAAGCCATTACTTCTCAGAATATTTCTAATAAATTCATTTAGCTTAAATTCTGATTGTTATTATAAATTATCATTATAATGTTACATGTCTTACATTGTTATATTATCTTAAATATACCTGCCCTTGAATTAAGAAACATTGTAGTTTGCTTTTATGTATATCAGTGATTGATTTCTTTCTTAAAAATGTCACTTTCAAACTTGGGAAATCTTTATGGGTTACCACATAGATTTTATACCCTCATCCATGGTAATGCATGCCTGTGAAATTGAACTCATGAATACCTCTGTAGGTAAGTACATCACGGGGCCTTAAAGCCTTCTCAGAGTATGTCAGAGGAATCCCTGTATTATAGAACTATATCTACTAATACTAGAATGCTCTTCAGAAACTTTAAATGTGGCTTAGTGGAATATCAATTTTGTTTCACAAAACTGGTGGTATAAATGACTTAAAATAAGTAAACCAAAACTATAGTAGCCCGTGTTACTAACAGTATTTTGTAGGCATATTGCATTAAGATAACACCTAGAAACTTACCAGTTTAAAAAATATATTTGTTGTCACTCGCTTTCTCTGTTTTGCTTGACTTGGTTTTAGTTTATTTAGACAGGGTCTCACTATGTAATCAAGGATAAACTCAAACTCCTAGGCTGAAGCGGTCCTCCTGCCTCAGCCTCTTGAGTGCTGGGACTATAGGTATGCACCACCACCCCTCATCCCTCTGCCATGAAGTAACTGACACTTTTAAAAATCACAGTGCTTTTATTCCCAGTGGATGTAAAAATGTGAATTGCCTAATATTCAGAAAGTAAAATCAAAATTCTAAGTGATAAGAAAGCATTATGGGTTCTTTTTTCTCTTACTGGTAGCACTTTTACTTTCTTCATAGCTCATGAAATAATGGCTTAACCTGCAATGTCACATCTTAGATTCTGTGAAATATTGTATTTATAATCATATCACAATCAACATTTTTACATAATGTATAAGTGTAATTATATGCATATAAATATGCAGCGCTCATAGAACATAAAACCGTGGCTGTGAAATTTGTCTGCCAAGGATAAACTGTCCATCTTTGTGAAAGAGGACGAGTGCTGATGATAGACAGGGCAGAGAGCACAAGCAAATGGAGAGGCGATCAGAGTGGGGATAGGTTGTCTTTAATTGGGACTGAGTAGACAGGAAAAAGTGTTTTAAGTAGGAGCACATAAAAATCAAATGATAGCATGCCTTTCTCCATTCCAGATTGCAAAGGTAGTTTTGTAATGTATAGCATTCACGAATATAGGCACCCAGTGCTCTAGAACTGGTGACGCTGTGTCTGAGGACAGCCCCGTGGTCTAGAACCCACAGCTCACCTGCCCACTGTCCAATTCTGGAAGCGCTGCCCCCGTCGCTTTCCAGCTTCCAGGTTATTTTCAGGCAACTCGCTGTCACTCAGATTCCTCACCTGCTTCTCTTCTCTTTTCTACAGTCTTTTGTTTGCCCTGTTGTTCAAAAATTTCTAGTTGCGCTACCTTGCTGGAGGCCTTTCATTCAGTGTTGGTGCTGGGCACCCGGCAACGCTTGCAGTCTGATAACTGGCAGCATCTGATTTTGAAAAGACTTTTTAAACTAATTATTTTGAAAATGTCCTTTTTTTTTTTTTTCCCTCGGTCAAGATTTTCTGGAATTTCTGTGATTCAGATACTGAACCTCAGCCTATACTCAACCTGTAATTTTTCTTTTCTTATTATTTTGTTCTTTGTGTACTTTGTCTTCATCAATTCTCTCTAGTTTTTAAATTTATTCTACCATTTATTTTTTTCCAAAATTTTCTGACTTCTGTTTTGTTCCATGTATTCCATTACTTCTCTCTGATTATTTAATTTCAATTTCTTTGAAGTTTTACTCCTTTTTTTGCCTCTTCTGTTTGTGTTTTAAGGCCTCTCATATTGCAGGATTTTCTTAATAGCTGATAGTCTTTGCTGTGAGCTCATATTTTAAAACACATTGGAATCTCTGTGTGACTAGGATGAGCTTTTAATGGGTGGTTCGCTTTCTGCTCCTCTGGCCAGGCTGTTTTTATATGGAGACTTTACCGTCGGTACTGATGGGGCTTTTCTTTTTGGCTGACTAGAATTCTCCTGCCAGGTAGTTCAAAGCCTGGTTTTTATTTTGTTCAGAGCTGAATACAAAAACGAAATCTTATTCCACTGTGCTCCTCTGTCTGTAGAGAATGCTTCTGGTTTAACCTTTGAGGAGTTTTCTGCTGGTATGTGTTAGGGAGAAAAAAGAAGGATGAGGAGGAGTCTGAAATCTAAGTAATTCATAAACAGAATTTCAGCCAACCCATCTTATTTTCAATGCAACCTACCTAGGTACCAGGGTCCTTCACTTCAAGCCTTGGGGAACTTGGCTGTGGCGATCTGCCCCTTTCAGAGTGTCTCCCTGTTACAGGCATTTGCATTCTTTTTGGTCTTAAGTTAGTTGCCATCTGTTTCTGAAATTTAAAACAATCCTTCCCCTGTATATCTTTTATCCATGAAGAAGAAAGCTTTATTTTTTAAAAAAACAAAACCCTTTTTCTCTTAATTTACTATCATCTCAAGGAATGGCAAAAACGTGAGTCCAAAATAACATACAGTATTTGAACTCCACATTTAGAATATATCTGGAAGTATCCATATGGAATTTTAAAATGATTACCTTTGAAGATAGGGACTATAGTTAAATCGATTGAGCTGCTACTAAACTGGGTGTTTTTAGCATGAGTATGTTAACATTTTAAAGATGTGTTTAAGTTTTATGAATATGAGTGTTTGCCTACATGTATGTATGTGTACCACATGCATGCCTGGTGCCTGCAGAGGCCAGAAAAAGGGAATCAGAGCCCCTGGAACAGGATTTACAGGTGGTTGTGAGCCACCTTGTGGGTGCTGGGAACCGAACCCAGGTCCTCTGTAAGAGCAGCAAGTGTTCTTAATCACTGAGTCATGTCTCCAGCCCCATATATACTTTTTTTTCTTTTTAAAGACAAACACATTCTGCAAAGCTTAGGATCTCAATTTGATAAAAATATTTTAATAACATCATAAGAGACAACTAAACTTGATAATTACTTTAGCATGGCATTTCCTATTGGAATATTTTCCAGTAAATAGCTTGAAGCAAGCATCATGCAAATAGCTTAAAGGTAAATAACTAAATCTGATAGCAGGTTTTAGACGGAGGTAAAATGAGAGTTTAGGAAAGACTGAAAGACAATAAAGATATTTCCACTCTATATTGTATATTGCATTAGCAAGCTCTGGGTGCTATAAGAGTTAATTGTTCAAGCTGAAAAACCCTTAAAAAAATACTCTGAAAATCTATACTTTTTTATGTCGTTGCTCTTTGGTGCTGAGAAGTTCTCAAGAAAGTGAGTGTTTTATGTACCATTTGTGCTATAATATTTAATTACATTGAGTGTACAGAAGATTAGCTGTCTCAAAGATTCTTTTGAAAGCAGATTGAACATCAAAACTGCATTGTGCCTGCTAAGCAAGCAAATTTAAGAAAGAGGAGAAGGTGATGTCAAGACTTATTGCAAAATGAATAAATAAAAGAATAGGATCTGCTGATTGTTTAGCCTGTTAAAGCATAGCCAAATGTCAGCCCTCATTTGTCAACTCAAATATGGTTTATCTACATTTTACAATGCAGATCCTGGAAAGTGTTCTTTAGCTTATATTTGGACTGAGAAATCCATTAGACAACAAGTAAGTGCTAGATAACTTTTATTTACACCAACAGCTCAGTCCTCATACTGATTGCTACATTGTCACCTATGTAAACATATGTTAGTCATTCTGTTAGAGATATTTATTGCCTTTGGTTTTGGGTATTTTGCTGATTAGAAAATTAAAATGTGTATTTTTGCTCCCAGGTCCATGCAGCTTTATAAGCTCAACATGATTTCTTTTCCACAATAAACTTACCCCCTTCCCCAGAAAAACAGAATATACTCAAGTAGTTTTAGTACCAAGAGAATTTTTTCTCCTTTTAAATTAAAAAAAAAAGCAAATAATAAATTTTTTAAAACTTGGGAGTCCTGCTCCAAGCAGCCATGGGTGGGACTAGGTAACTTGTAGCCGAACCTGGGCTTGCTATCCATAACCAGACCAGACAGATGAGAATCCCCAGCCAGAGCAGAGTTCACTGGCAATTGGAACTTGAATGATAGGGGTCTGTAGGCCCTAGGAGAGCTTTGATTCACCCTGATCCCAGAGTTTTATACTATTAGTGTGTGAGCAGAATGAGCTGGAAACAGGAGTATCACATCCCTCTGTGAGCTAAGATTCTTTTTTTTATTTTAATTTATTATTTTTATTTTGTGTATGAGTGTATTGCCTGCATGTATGTGAGTGCACCTGTGTCCTGCAATGCTGAAGAGGTCAGAAGAGGGCTTCAGATTCCCCTGGAACTGGAGTTAAGGATGGTTAGTAGCCACCATGTGTGTGCTGGGAATCAAACCCGGGTCCTCTCCAAGAGCAGTCAGTGCTCTTAACCACTGAGCCATCTCTCCAGCACCAGAGCTAAGATTCTTAAGGCGGTGGAGAGGATGTTAGGTTTCCCAATATTAAAAAGTGTGTACAAACAACACATATGTGCCAACACATAACTGGCTGAAACAGAAGAAACATAAATGTCTCATAGATAAC